GAATGCCTCACAAAAGTTTGTGCACGACCCATTTCGAAGTATTTCCCCAAATGCTTGCTTTAGCATTTCATAGGTTTCCGTAGCGGTTTTGGCGAGTCTTTGGCAAAATTTGATGCACCCGCCATTCCGAAATCGCAGGAGGGTCGGTGTAATGCACTACCAAAACGCCCGTAACTAAGAAACAAATGCTAATTCGATGATGCCGGCTGGCACACTGATTCACTATGAATGTAGGCCGCACCCCCTAGCGGCAGAAGCTCGTACTACATCCGGTTCGCCATCTATTAACACAGTATTGAAACTTTCCGATCGCACCTCGTACACATAGTAAAAAAGAATGTGTTTTGTTTGGCATGGCAGCCTTACAGATTTTTTTAAAAGAATGTCAAAAATATCCACTCTTTTCGTGTGCAAAATGTCAGAATGCTGTTTCAGGTATTCTTTTCACAACAAAGTATTCATCTCAACTAGCGAACACACATCTTTCCACCCACGACACTGCATCCTTTTCTGCAGTTTATAATAAAAATTCTGAATGTCTGAAGACTGGACGTTTATGTTTGTTCCTTTGTTAATACATTTGGTACAAATCTTTCATGGTGAATAAATGTAACAAACGATGCCAAATACAAGAGGCCACGCCCAAAATAAGAATTGTTCTAGCTTGGCCAGGTTTCGACACACGACTGTTTTGTAGGCGACCTCACAAACTTGAAAATTTGTACATCATAATTGTGTTTAAGTAGCCATTTTCCTTCGTATCCTTCACAACTACTTGCACCATTCTAACTCTTCAATATAATGGCTCCAAACTTCTACAGGATGTCAGAAAATTTCAGATGGTAGCAGATTCCTCGCCCACAAAACACAGATCACACTCAGACATCCTTCCTGTGTGAATCGTCATATAAACTACTCTGTCTGTGCTTATGGCACTGACTTTGGGTCACAGTTCTCACAGTCTCTAGTTTGAACTTGTGAATGTACTTGTTCCTCTACAGTTCATCACAACTCATATTTTTCACATCCAAAAAGCATTTTCATGTTACTTTCCAGCCATATCTTGCATAAACTTTGATTTTTTCATCTTAAAAAAATCATTCACTGAAAAGAATATGTTTCAGTTTCAAAAGTAATTCCTTCTACCATTTATTTAAAATGTTCAGAAGTATCTACACTCACAAATGAAATTTGACTTTATGTAAATTAGATGGAAACATAGGAGCGCTGAATGAAGAATGTGATTCAGGTATTATTATCATTTTGTATTGAAATTATTCAATTACAGAACTACAAGCCACCAGGAGTGAAAGACATCCCCATCGATTTTCGAGTTCACTTGAGGAAAAAAGCACCGAACCCATTTGGAGTACTTCGCTCGAAAGGTTGTATTCATGTTGTCCTACCTATTACTTATTTAATTACGCGGTGCTTCGAGCTGCGTACATTTTCCATTTGTTGATCACCCGTAAGACAGAGATGAAGTACTGTCTTGTAATATGCCATCAGGAATATGAATTCAGTTTCTTGCACCTGCTGATTATTTTAATTTAATAGGCAAAAATAGAATATCACAAAGAATAATTTTGAAGTGTGAATAAGTCCATAAATGAAAGCGGATAAAAAGAACGTGAACATGTCATGAAATAAAAATCAGTAACAAAGTCTACTTTAGTCAGGATATATTAATTACTCTTGCAGCCACTGGTGAGCCTCCATTATGCATGAGCTGTGTAATTCTGTTTGCACTAAGAAATGCCCTACATGCAGCTCGCCAAGATGCCGGGAAACCTGATGAGTGGTGCCCAATGAGTAAGTAAAGGTTATACTAACTAACTAACTAACTAGATGGCTTACGGAACCTTAAGGTTCATCACCGAACTAACCAAAGCCTCCCACCGGTCCCTGTCCTGGGCCAACAAAATCCA